CAAACGTGGATTTTTAAAGAATATTTTTTCAAGGACTTCTAGAGCAGCAAACGTGGATTTTTAAAGAATATTTTTTCAAGGACTTCTAGAGCAGCAAACGTGGATTTTTAAAGAATATTTTTTCAAGGACTTCTAGAGCAGCAAACGTGGATTTTTAAAGAATATTTTTTCAAGGACTTCTAGAGCAGCAAACGTGGATTTTTAAAGAATATTTTTTCAAGGACTTCTAGAGCAGCAAACGTGGATTTTTAAAGAATATTTTTTCAAGGACTTCTAGAGCAGCAAACGTGGATTTTTAAAGAATATTTTTTCAAGGACTTCTAGAGCAGCAAACGTGGATTTTTAAAGAATATTTTTTCAAGGACTTCTTGACTTACAAACGTGGATTTTTAAAGAATATTTTTTCAAGGACTTCTTGACTTACAAACGTGGATTTTTAAAGAATATTTTTTCAAGGACTTCTTGACTTACAAACGTGGATTTTTAAAGAATATTTTTTCAAGGACTTCTTGACTTACAAACGTGGATTTTTAAAGAATATTTTTTCAAGGACTTCTTGACTTACAAACGTGGATTTTTAAAGAATATTTTTTCAATTTAATACGGTTAAAACGTACCTCATAAAAATAATGGGTTTAGACCCCATTTGGACTAAATCCGTTTCAGGACATTTGGAGTCGATCTGGGGATGTTCGTCCGTCCGTCCGACTGTCTGTTTGGCTGGGGAGCACGATAATTCTCGAAGGGAGTATCCGATTTGGTCCATACTTGGAACATTGTAATATTATTGCCAAACTTAGATCAAATTCGAAGATATTCAATATTGACCCACTCCTTTAGGTACCTTCTCCACAAGAGGTAACAATTCTCACAGTAAACAATTTTCCTCTTAGAACAAAAAAAAATTTGTTCAAACTTTGTAAATCAGAATACTTTTGTCAATGCTGGGTATAGTGCGAAAATGGACAATATCGGTTCATATCATCAAGTACCTCCACCACAATAGGGTCAATATTTTAAATAATTATAAATCTTATGAATTGCGAAATAAGTATCCGATTCTCTTCCAATTTCACACATCGAAATTTCTACTAACACAAGATCTGATGTGAAGATATTGATATCGAATTAATTCTTCTGGTACATCCTCCACAACGGGTCAAAGTTTTAAATAACCAAAACTTTCGTAAAATGCAAAATAAGCATGCGAACAATTCTAAAATTCAAACATTCCAATATTTCTACTGACACAAGATCTGGAGTGAAGATGGTAAATAAAGATGGTAAAGGATCAACATTATCAATTGTTATATCTCTCATAACGTCCGAAAAAAAGTCAGAGACTCTTTTCAAACTTAGTATATCTAAATATATCACCCAACCAGAGATCTAATGTGTGTTTGGAATTCATCGGTCCACTCCTTCTGATACCTTCCCCTCACAGGTTCAATAGTTTGAATACTCATAAGGAAAGTCAAAATAAATTTCAATACAAAAAAACGTTGAATGGGGCAATACATCTGTCAGCAAAACCGACTGATACTGTCTTCTTGTTTTCAATAATATTTTTTGGACTCTACGTCCTTTTTTCAAATATTTTTTCACAGAAGACCTGTTGGTCGCCCAAAAGACAAATAGTTGGAAGACGACTAAAAGTTCTTTTCTTGGTCTTCACATAGTAGACCAGAAGTTCTTCCCTCATACAATGGCAGAATGTCTTCACTCAAGAAGACTTAGATTTTTTAAATATTTTTTCAAGGCATTTTAAAAATATTTTTGAAGATACGATTGGATTTAAAAAAAGTATATATTTTTTCATTACCACTATAATTTTTCTATCTTCAACAATTTCATGACATACTATTGTTAAAATACTCCTTATCATTTTACTAATGGACACATCCTTTTAATTGAGGCGTGCCATATATATATGTGTGTGGGAGTGAGATTAATAATTGCAAAAAGCTGCTTATACACACACATACGTGGGCAGACACACCTTTGTCATAGTCATATAAATATTTGTATGTATGTACGTAATAAGAAGATTTTTTTCTCATCTTGACAGGACTATTGTAAATTACTTTATTGTTATGTAAATCTATGGCGTGTCAGGATACACACCCATGTGTATGAAAGAGGGGATGTTGATGTTGTGGTTATGTAAATTATATAAAAAATTAACACACAAGTAAAAAAAATCCGTAATTAATAAAAAGGATAATACATATGTCTGTTTAATTAAACTTCATTGTAATTATGATGACCATTAAATTGGTGATTTTTTTTTTAATTAATTCTCATACTCCATCTAATACAGATAAAAATATTGGTATGAACAAAATTACAAGAAAATCGAACATTTATATCCAGTTTTATGCGAAATCATAAATTCAATATTCATCTCAGGTCTCTGGTTATGAGAAATATTTAGAGAATCGAAGATGAGTATTTCGCTTTCTTGTGGGGAAGGTACCAAAAGAAATGGTCCGATCTCTACCATACTTATAACAGATCTTGTGATGATTCAAAAATATTGAGATGTGGCAAGTCTGAATGAAATTGGATGTTAATTCCGCCTCTTATGAGCTTCATGGATATTCAAAATGTTGAGCCTTTGCGATGGAGGTACCAGAAGGAGTGAACCGATATATCCCATTTTAAAAGCAGAGCTTGGGTTGATAACAATACTGTGATATGTGTAGTTTCAAGACAATCTAACTCCAACATCACATTAGTTAGTATTTTTTTTAAAATTTTGACCCTTTGTGGGGAAGGTAATTAATGGCGTGAACAGACATTGTCCATACCAATATTTTACAATTCGTAAAGTTGGAGCAACCTCGAATTATCCTTTATCTTTTTGTGCAGTAAAATATAAAATATTTTTTTAAATTTCGACCTTTTGTGGAGGAGGTACCAGAAGGAGTGTACCGGTATTGCCCATCTTCAAACTCGATCTAAGTTTGAGAATAATATTACGATATACCAAGTTTTGACCAAATCGAATACTCCCTTCGAGAGCTATTATACGCACCAGCCACCAGACAGACAGGCGGACATCACCAGATCAAATCCAAATGCCCTGAAACTTATTTGGTCCAAAAAGTCATAGGGTCTAAAACCGTTTTTGCGATGAAACACGTTTTGGTCGTATCAAATGATATACAGGGTGAGATGAAAAAACCTGCAACCAACTTCAGACAGCTGTCATTTCTAAGCCACTTGTGACAGCTTATTATATTGTTTACAAGCGTACAAAAGCATTTTGGTGATTATTTTCCAGAAAAAAAAATATTCGCGATGGAATTTAAGCGTGATAGTGTGATTTCTTTATATTTGGCTGCAAATCCACAAGTGGCTATCGTTAGTGCACTCCAGCATTTAACTGTGAATAAATATTTTGTGTCTCGTACCATCGCTCGCTACCGAGGCACTGGTAGCGTAGCTCGACGTCAAGGAAGATGACGGAAGAAAACAGCAACATCAGCAGAAATGGTTCGAAATCTGCGTCGCATTTGACGAAAAATGGCTCGTGAGCTGAGCATATCGCAATATTCCATTCGGCAAATATTGAAAAATGAGCTCGGAGTAAAGCCATTGAAATTCCAAAAAGTGCAAGAACTTACACCGCAACAGAAAGAAAATATACTTAAAAGAGCTAAAGAGTTGCTTCGCTTGGCCGAAAGTGGTGGACTGCCGAATTTGGTTTTCTCGACATTCGTTTTCAGGACAGTCGTTGTCCAGCAGTTTGTAAACAAACGAAATTATCGTGTTTACTTGTCGAAAAGGTCTGCTGAAAATGTGCACCTTCGGTTAGCCATCAGAACTCAAGCGCCGCTCATGGTGATGGTGTGGGCCGCCATAACAGCCGATGATCGCTCTCCGCTCGTAAATATCGAACGTGGCATCAGAATAAATGCCGAATATTATAGCAAAAATATTCTGGAGGCTGTATTAAAGCCTTGGGCACGCAAACATTTTGGCCGCAGACCTTGGACCCACGAATGGTTACAAAATGAGGTTCGTTCCTCATTTCATTTCCAGCGCACAATGGCCACCAAAATCTCCGGATTCCAATCCGTTGGACTCTTGTGTCTGGAGTATTTTGGAAAGCAAGGTTGGCACTAAAAAATACCAAAGTGTCGATCACCTCAAGCAAGCGCTTCACCGTGAATGGGTCAAAATAACGCAGAGCAACATTCGGCCAGCATGTGACGGTTTCATTGGCCCTTTGAAGGCCATAATTTGTGCCAAAGGTGACCAATCCGAACAAATCTAAACTTATTCTAAAATTTGATGCTATTTCCGACATTTTTGCTTTCATTCAATAAAATTAAAAAAAAGCAAGTAAAAAATATTAAGTTCAGCTGGGCCGAACTTTTGATACCCTCCACCTTAGGGTAAAAGAAACATTAGAACCCATTATGACCCACAAATACCAATTTTTAGACATATTCGTGAGAAAATGTGGCAAAAATCATCAAAAGAACAAAAATCGGGAGGTATAGTTTTATGGGGGTTATACCAAAGCGTTGACATAAATTATATAATTTTAGTAAATAAATTAAGTTTTTTTCTTTTAAAAATAGAGATTAAATCATTATATTATATAATTATAGTAAATAATTGAATATCTCGATTTGTATATTTATCTGGTATTTACGAAATTTATTAACATTTAATTTTTCGTTTTTTTTTCTATTCCAGATTCAGCGGCTGAAATTCAACAATTACACTCAAATAAAAATCTTAGTTAATTACTTCAAATGAAATTTATATATAAACCAATATATAATATAACTACGGTATATAACATTTAATTAAATAAATTATATAAATTAGTAATATTCGTTAAACTGAAAGCTGTGTTAAAAATATTTTATTAAATAGAAATAACAAACATTAATATTCAAAACAAAAAATTAAAAATCTTTAAATTTTTAAATTTAATCATTAAATCTTCCATTAAATGATATTAAAAAAAAATAAAATACAATACGTTTTCAAATCAAATTATATAACAAAAAACAAAAATATACTCAACAACAAGCCTAAGTAGTGATATTAAAAAAAATCTCTTTTTTCAAAACTTCAATATAATGCCTATATACATAAAATATATATTTGAAAATCTTTGTTAAATAACAAAAACAAAATAATAACATTTTCAAACAAATAGCGTTGTGAACCAAACGAAAAATATCCTTTTTCCTTTTTGTAAATCCATCAAGTGAGAAAGTGGAAACGAGCCTGTCAACCTACCCCCCAATGGCTAGGCAAAAATAATATTCTAAACATAACCTTAACCTTAAACTTGACAACAACAAAGAAAAAGGACAAAACCTAGAAGACAAAAGAAAACAAAAAAAAAACAAAAAAAACACAAATCGAAGGCAACCCAGAGAACTGTAAACGTCAGCTGGAATAAAAAATAATCTTCTGGGGCCCGACAACAGTGCACTGCAGTTCACATTCATTGGCTGACGTACAGTACATTTTTGGCCGAGAACCAAAAAAATCCGAAGCCCAGTTATCAGCACCCATCCTTTCTAGGCCATCGCTGGGCTAGGCAACAATTACGTTACCAATCGAAGCGACGACCTTCGCGTGCCGCTGAAAAACTCCAAAAAAACAACAACCAACAAAATTCCACTCTCAACACCTTAAGGACACATTGGAATACATGGAATGCACCCCGACTAGATAACTGCAGCGTGTAGGACAACATCAACTACAACTGGTCGCCACCCTACCCAGACCACCTCCCACCCGAAACAAACTGCGAAAAACAGCAAGGTTCATTTGCAACACTTGTTTGCAGTTGGAATTTCTTCCTTCCTTCCTGCCACCTGCCACACAACCAACAACAACATTGCCAAACACTTCGTTTCTGTGAAAATTCCCGCCAAATTTGTTTGAGTGTGTGTCTGTGTCTCGCTCGCTCCATGTGCTGCTTGCTGTTCATCTAATGTTCATGCAATGATGATACACCAATAAATCTTGGCAAAGCGTCATGACCGGAAGTACGGTAAGTGTTTCAGTTGGATAATGCAACAAAATCGTTATATGCAAACTATTTACGCCCTCCCCCTAGGGCAATATGTCCGCCAAACATGAGTTGAACAAATTGTTTTGGAATTTTGTAGTTTTTTTTTTTTTTTTTTTTTTTTTTTTAGAAACATGTTGTAATGTGGAGGTTTTCCACTGCAAACTAGCAAATGGTAGGAAATGTCGAAAAAAGTTTTCAATTTTTAGCCGAGTCAAAATAAGTCAGAGAGGACTTATTGAATTGCAGTATATAAAGGATTCAATCTTGGGTTTTTAATCTTCGATAGAAAGGTCCCCTGTCAATAGGAGACCTGTATATGATCTTCAGACCAAAAAAATCCCATAATATATCTGTCTATAGAATATCGAAAATGTGAACTTATATAAAGGGACTATCAAGTGACCCCAACGAAAAGTCCACCTAAAAAAAATTAGATTCGTTCCAACAATCCATATTTGAACGCTAGAAACCAACAGCGACCTCAACCCAATTCAGTAAAGTTATAGTACGCATATCCAAAACCAGCTTCTTTTCTCAACCTCAGACAGCAGCGGTGACATCCACCATCAAATTTAAGGATTTCTGCTCTTTGCGATGTAGTACTAATAAGTACTTTTCGTACAGTCATACTACACAGAGACCTCAATATCAAAATTTCCCTTCACTAAACACGAAATTTATTACTTTTCGTAAAATTTTTCGATATCTCAATCATAGACATAAACAGTGACATCTATATCAAATTTCGCGATTTCAGCTCTATCCCTTCAGCCAATATCAAATTTAGTACCACTTAATACTTTTCGTACAATTATAGTACACAGATCTAAAATCATCTCAATATCTCAATTCTAAATACCAACAGTATTTTTCGTACTTTTCGTAAAAGCTAAGTACACATTTGCAAAACCATTCTATATCTCAATCCTAGACATCAACAGTTATGGCACTATAGAATCTCACGGTTTCAGCGGTTAGGACACATTTCGAAAATCATCATATCTTAATTCCAGATACCAACAGAGATATCAGTATCAAATTTGAGGATTCTAGCCTTATCTCTTCTCTCAATACCAAATGTAGTACCATTTAGTAATTTTCGTACAAATGTAAAACGAATTCCCAAACCGCTGCTTAATCTGAAAACTCGATACCATCAGTAACCTAAATATCAAATTTCAGAATTTAATCTCTATCGCTTTACCCAATAGAAAATTTAGTACTATTTAGTACTTTTTGTACATTTATAGTACACATTTCCAAAACTAACTTCATATTTCAATACCAGCTGAAAATTTGAGGATTCTAGGCCAATTCCTTCACTGAATATCAAATTTAGTACCATTTAGTACTTTTCGCACAAATATATGACATATTTCCAAACCACCGCCAAATCTCGAGCACAAATAACAACAGTAAACTAAATATTCTATCCCTTCAGCGAATACCAAAAATAGTACCATTCAGTACTTTTCGTACAATTGTCAGTCCCATACTCTAACCCCTAATGCCAAATTTTTGATTTCAAGCAATATCAGAGACCTCCATATTAAATTTATATCCCTTCTCCCAATACCTATTTAAGTACCACCTCGTAATTTTCAAACCACAGCTACCAAAATGGACATTCATATCAAATTTCGGGATTCCAGCCATATTTCTTCTTCACTCACCAAATTTAGCACCATTTTGTACTTCTCGTACAATTATAGTACAAATACCGAAACCACTTCCATATGGCCAGGCCACACATGAACAGCGACCTTAATACAAAATTCCACAATTCAAGTACTGTCTGTTCTCCCAATACCAAACTGTACAAAATATAGTACCATTCTGTACTTTTCGTACATTGATAGTACACATTTCCAAAACCGCCTCTTTATCACAAACCTACTACCAGCAGGGACCTCAAATACAAAATTTCAAAATTCCAGCTTCATCCCTCCAACCTAATCCAAACTGTTCCAAATTTAGCAACATTTCCAACACTTAGTACACATTTCCCGAACCACCGTTATTAAACTTATTTTCCAACTTTGATTCTCATACCGAATTTCATGTTTTCAGCTCTATTCGTTCTCATAATACCTTATGGTAATATTTTAGAAGTTCAGTACCATTTTCTGATAGGTCTCCTTTATAGGTTTTCAGTCTTCAAGAGACGTTCAACATTTCTAAGGTACACATATGACAAGAAAGAGACCTTATATATACAAAATGCCGTCTGAATCCAATGAAATGTCTTCAATCCGAAGAGTACCTAAAAAACAGATCTACTGTATGTAAAAACCGTAAATAGGTTTTTCGTTCTCCTAATTACCAGAAGACTTTTAAAATTCTTCGATCCTTTTGCTGACCAAAGCCGTTTCAAAAGCTTCTGCATGTCGTAGAATTTTTCGTGTTTTCTTTAGAAAGGGACTTTGTGAGGGTCTCCTAGGGACAGGTGATGCTGTGAAGGTCTTTGGTCCAAAGAAGACCTTTTAAAGATTTTATAAAAACCGAAAACCATAAGAACCCTTATCGGACGCCATTTGAAGGTCTTCTGCAGACAGGGAGACAATTAAGAGTTTTTGGTAGACCAACGACCGTTTTGAAGGCATTATTTTGACGGAGACCCTTTTAAGGACCAAAGACCTGTTGAAACTCTTCTAGCGACCAAAAACTTTCAAAAGTCCTGCACATTTTTTTCATTCGTACACCGAAGATAATTTGAAAATTCTTTGTAGACAATTCTATGGTCCGGGGATCCTTCAACGGTCCTCTGTAGACCGAATTTCTTTCGAGGGTTTTTACTAAGGCTACGGTCGAACCCATGGAAAGTTTTTGCCGGAAAAAATACCATATGAAGGTCCTTTGCCGGCCATAACCCTTTCGAATGTCTCTTGCAGGTCGAAATCTTATTGGACCTTTTTTAACAACTAGACCATAGGAAGGAGCCCTTGATGATTTAAGGTCAACGGTTTACACTACATCGAAAACTTGTAAACCGAAGCTCCTTCAAAGGTCTTCCGTAGACCAAAGGTCTTTTGATTTTCCAAAGGGTATTGTTAAAATGCAGATCCTCGATGATACTAAAAAAATTGGAGAAATCTCTTGGTCGAAGTGCTTTCGTGGTCTTGTATAGAGCAAAGATCTCTGGAAGGGTTTCTAACGACAAGATATATTTAAAAGGTCTTCTATTGATCTTAAAGGAGTGTTCTACAGGATGAGATAAAAAAACTGCATCAAAGTCAAACGCCATAATTTTTATATATATTTTTTTTTTTTTTTTTTTTTTTTTGAATGAAAGCAAAAAATATCGGAAATAGCATCAAATTTTAGAATAAGTTTAGATTTGTTCGAATTGGTCACCTTTGATACGATTTATGGCCTTCTAGCGGCCAAAGAAACCATCACATGCTGCCGGAATGTTGCTCTGCGGTATATTGACCCATTCCCGGCGAAGCGAAGGTGCACATTTTCAGCTGACCTCTTTGGCAAGTAAACAAGATCATTTTGTTTGTTTACAAACTCCTGAAACGAATGTTTTCTCATCGGAGCAGAGAAAACCAAATTCGGCAGTTCACAACTTCCGGCCAAGCGAAGCAACTCTTTAGCTCTTTTGGGTATATTTTCTTCCTATTTCTGTTGCGGTGTAGTTCTTGCACTTTTTGGAACTTCAATGGCTTTATCCCGAGCTCATTTTTCAATATTTGCCGAATGGAATATTGCGATATGGTCAGCTCACTAGCCATTTTTCGGCCACTGCGACGCGGGTTTCGATCAAGACGCTTCCTTACTTTTCGAACCATTTCTGTTCTGATATTGCTGTTTTCTTCCGTCCACTTCCTTGATCAGTATCACGGTAATGAGCAATGGTACGAAACACAAAAGATTTATTCACATTTAAATGCTGGAGTGCTCTAACGATAGCTACTTGTGGTTTTCCAGCCAAAACCACTAGAAATGACAGCAGTCAGAAGTTGGTTGCAGTTGTTTCATCTCACCCTGTAATTAAAAGGTCTTTCATTGATCTTAAAAAAGGGTCTTCTATTTGCAGGCGACTTTTTAAAAAAGACTTTTAAGAGCTTTTCTATTGGAAAAGGACTTCCCAAATCTTTGATAGAAATGACTTTTTTTGAACAGAAGACCTTTTAAAAGTCTTTATTCATATGTCGAAGGCGGTCTGTTGACCTTTTATAGACCGAAGCCTTTTAAAAATCTTCTGTAAACATTTTGAAGGTTGTTTTTGTGGACCGAGAACCATTCAAAATCGTTTATAAATCAAAGGTCCCTTATAAGCAGGGACCTCAAAAAGTTATATCCCTAAATGCAAAATTACACAAATTTAAGTGGAAATGTCTACAAACCATTGCACAGAGGGGTTAAAACACAAAACACGGAGATTAATTGAAAAATAAATTCTACTTCAGTACCGAAAATTTCAAAGTCATACGTTGTTTAGTTCTCTAATTACACAGTGGCAAATTTAAGAAATGTTTCACTTTTTCGCAAGAAGAAGGAAAAAATTTGTCTTTGTTTTTTTTTTTTTTTTTTTGAAGTGCAATAATTTAGTTTTTTTCCATCAAAAGTTATTATTTTAAAATTGAAACATCGAATGCAGGTAGTTATCAGTATTTTAGAATAAAAAAGCTTTAAAAATAATGATGTAAAAATATTTTAAAAATTAATTCAAAATATAACCATATTTTCGCCATATCCGAAAAGTATGTGGAGTTTTAAAAAAAATAATATCGAGAAGGTCTTAAAATTTTAATTTTGTATTTTAGTATGGAATGTCATCTTTCATAATCAACAAAAAACTCGTGCCCTTTTTGCCGTTTTTGTTGAATTTAAAAAATGGTGAAAATAGTCAACTGATTTTGCGGTGAATGTACTTTGATCTTGTTCTCTGTTTATTCGTTTTTTTTTTTTGTTGGTCTTTCTAAAGAAGTTTCTCTTGGGTTTTTATCCTGTTATTAACTGGAATTCTAAAC